TCACTCTTTATTCTGATGGTAGAGGAGAATTTCAAGCTCTCAAACCCATTTTAGCTACCAATGGAATTCAACAGCTAATTTCCCCACCTTATGCCCCTCAGCGTGTAGCTTTGGCTGAACGCCGACATCGGCATATCATTGAAACAGCTACAACACTACTCCACCAAGCATCTTTGCTGCCTTCATTTTGGAGTTTTGCAGTTCAAGCAACTGTTTACTTAACTAGTTTCTGAACACGTGCGTTACACGTGTATTTCACTTATTTTTATAAAAGTTAGATAAAATATAATAAATTCAAAATTACATTCGTATTGTTCAAGGAATATTGTTGATATACTATTAGAAATTATACATATTAAAAGTTACAGCTCATTTGAGTGAGAATATATGATATTTAAGTGACCATATCTCAAATTCAAAGTAAATCAAATTCAAAATAATTGAATAATCTTCTCTATCTGAAAAGATGAACCATTACATCAACTTAGTTTATTATTTATAATTACATTATTTTAGTTTATGAGGTAAAAATATGTCACTTGGTCGCGACTACCTAACATTTTCTCATATACAATATTCTTGGTGTATATTCGATCACATTATTTTAGTTGGTTTTTCATTATTGTGTAGCTACAATATCATTATTGCTCATTTGTTATTCTCTGTCCCTTTTAATTAACGATTGTCTTAGTTGATCTTTTACGTGTGTAGTTGAGGGAAAAAGTTGGTTATAAGATTATGTTATTATCTCGGAAGCAAGAAAACTAAAGCAAAACATAAATTTTATAAATTAGTCATCAACGAACCAAAAAATACACTTCTAAAAGTACAATATTGCAAGAAGTTCCACCTTGTGCGCCATACATGAGAGGATTATAATGACAAGAGATTCGAATTTAAAAAGTACAGTTGGTATCAAATTAACCATAAGATAGTTAGATATATATGACGAGATCCTTTTTACAATACAAACTACACAATCAAATAAAAAATTATCCAGAAAAAATTAGAATTTCAAAAGCTGAGCCAAAGAATAAAGATTCAAGTTAGAAAGACGCACACCTCATTTGTGTTGATGCCCATCATAGTAAAGCTAGCCGAGAGGTCCATTCAATTATCTACAATAGCATCACGCGAATCCCTTTTTTCCCAAAAACGAAAATCCCATGATCACAAAAAATCCCATGATCACAAACTTGATGAAAACAAAATCTACCAACTTATTTCACGTGGTAGAGCAAACTCTTAAACTAACATGATTTACACGATAAGTAAGAAGCCAAAATGAAAAAATTTAAATAGAACATGTGCGAGAAGAAAAATCGTTCTATGCTATCGAAACAAAAATCACCCAGAAACAACAATAGGACTTAATATATCCTCATAAAGTAGTTGAGAATAGATCTAAGGCACTCAACCAATGTTAAAAAGTTCATTCTCGCTGGAAAGGAAAAAAGCTCAGCTCAGTGAATTTATTGTTCACTCCTTACACAATACCTATATATATTTGTATTGTATTTGTTGAAAACAAACAAAATTAAACTTTAAAAAAAGGGTTAATAATCATATGTCCAAAGGGAAAAAAATAATTCAATTTACATCAATAATAAGTAAATAATTTTGAATTATGTGAATAAAATATGATCAAAAAAATAGAAAACTCACTTTTATTTTTCCAGCAAATTAGATTTGTGCCAAAAGCATTGCATCATTTAGTCTTGATATTACTCGTTCTTGAAAGTAATGGAATTAAGAATTCTATCAAAAGTAGTCGAACATTAATCATTTCGGCTCTGCTATTGCCACCAAGTTTTGAAGACTTTCATTTTACAACATGACTTTTTTCTGATGAAATCTTTAAATAAATAGGCTTATCAGAAAAAGACAATTGTAACAACTTAAAAGAGAGACATAAATTAAGGGAAACGAATAGACATATATCATGGGGAATGCAAAAGATGTTAGTTCATAAATGTATTAATTAATTTATCAACATAAGTGATGGGTCCTTTCATTTGCTTTCAGGTTTAGATTAACCGAGATGATATTGAAATTCATATCAGTTAAATTTAAAAGAGTACAAATAGCAAATGAAGAGACATATATGAAGAGTACATTTTTGTACAACGGAAGGCTATTCAGATACAATTTGCATTGAAGAGAATTTGATTCCTATTATATTATTAATTGTAACTCCTCAAATTCTTAACTTAATACTGGTTGCTTTTTTGTAAAACATTCCATGAGTGTTTTGGTAGGGTGGAACAAATTTATCATTTATTGTACAGTAAGTTTACTTTTTAATATAAAATTATTATAAAAATATTATTTAAGAAAAGGATAAAATTGTCAGTTAGTTTTATTTGGGTAATATAGTAATTCAACTTTCATTTTTGGTCTTCTTACTTATAATTATAATATAGTATATAGTATGATGATTAATCGATTTTCCTCTTTCAAAAATACCAAAAATAGATATTCTCCTTACCAAGCTTTATTTGGATAACAACCAAATTTCAAATTAATTCGTAATTTTAGTTGTCTTTGTTACCCATGGCTGAAGCCACATTCCAAAAATAAATTAGAACCCAGATCAACACCATGTGTCTATCTTGGTTTTTCAATACAATATCACAGTCATCAATGTTTTGATCCAGTCAAATCCAAACTTTATTTTTCCAGAGATGTCAAATTTTTAGAGGGCACCTTTCCTTTTCAAAATTCAAATATTCTAATTCCAGAATATCACAGCATAATCTTTCCACATCCAAGAGCTTAGAGATATCCGAGAACTCGAATAATTTCCAAGATTCTGCACAATCTGATCTTATTCCTCCCATTCCAGTCCATAAATATGCATCTCTACGAATGGATGCTCCTACAAGTACTCCAATGACTGCGTCCAATGCTTCTCCTGAACCTCCAGTGTCAACATCATCTACGTCTCCAAGGGTAGATCACTCTAACTCTTCTTCTTCTTCTTCTTCTTCTTCTTCTTCTCTTTGATGATGTCCATCTCATTAAAAAAGTATTAGGCATGTGCCTAATAAGAGTTTTCTTTGGTTTGGTAGCTAACCTTGTTGACTTGGTTTGGTTGGTAGCCAACCTTGTTGAATTAGTTTGGTTTGATAGCCAACCTTGTTGANAAGGTGTCGAGGAAGTGGAGCACCCCACTCAGGGAGAAGAACAACCTCAACCTCTGAGGAGATCAGAGAGGCCAAGGGTAGAGTCATGCAGGTACTCTTCTACATAGTATGTCCTCATCAGTGATGAGGGGGAGCCAGAAAGTCTTAAGAAGGTGTTGTCCCATCCAGAAAAGAACCAGTGGATGAAAGCTATGCAAGAAGAGATGGAATCTCTACAGAAAAATGGAAAATACAAGCTGGTTGAACTTCCAAAGGGTAAAAGACCACTCAAATGCAAATGGGTCTTTAAACTCAAGAAAGATNTGTAAAATTCCTTACTATAGTGATATCAGTTGCTCCTCTCGGGGTCGTGGTTTTTTTCCTTATTCAGAAAGGTTTTCCACGTAAAAATCTTGGTGTCATTGTTACTCCTTTATTTTTGTTAATTACCGTATCTCGGTGCTACATTATTATTCCGCTTTATTACCGTGAATATTATTTTGGTAAGGGGTTTATTCCCAACAACTGGTATCAGAGCACACGTTCTGCTCGTTCACTGAAATACTATTCACTGTCGGTAGTACTATACTTGGTGAAAAATAAAAATGTCCGGAGTAAAGTACGAGGTAGCAAAATTCAACGGAGATAACGGTTTCTCAACATGGCAAGGAAGGATGAGAGATCTGCTCATCCAACAAGGACTACACAAGGTTCTAGATATTGATTCCAAAAAGCCTGATACCATGAAAGCTGAGGATTGGGCTGACTTGGATGAAAGAGCTGCTAGTGCAATTAGGTTGCACTTATTAGATGATATGGTAAATAACATCATTGATGAAGACACTGCACGTGGAATTTGGACAAGGTTGGAAAGCCTATACATGTCCAAAA